GGGTGGGAGATGTGGAGAGAAAGAGCAAAATAGAGAAAGAGTTTATGTTTGAGAGATAGAGAGAGTGAATCAGAGAGAGAGAGAAAAAGAGAGAGAGAGAGAGGTACCTTTGTGTGTCGGCACACTTTCCTCTTTTTTTTCTAATACTTTGATGTGCCCACCCTTGAATTGAAACTTGAATTTTGACGCTCAGTTAGATCAGCCTGTCCTACTAAACTAAAGTGGGTGACCTTGATTTAAATGTTTGTTGGCAATTTCATGGCTTCGGTTGTTAAAGGGTTTTCGTGTCTGTTCTTTTAGTGAAAGAAAGTACTTGTTAAAGTCTAATACAGGGTAGATTGTGGAGATGAATATGCTTTTTCTTTTTTAAATGTCTCATTGGAAAGACAAGACATGAGTACATAAGATTTTATTGCGACAAATGATGCATTTTGTGTTGCATCTTGCTGTTTTCTTTTTCTTTTCAGGTCAGCTCGGTTGCATTTTCGCAAGATGGGAAAAGTTTTGTGACCGTTGGAAATAGACATGTCAGATTCTGGTACTTGGAAGACAGACGGTCAAAGGTTTGTATTTTGTTCATTTTTCTTGTTCCTGTAACTTCTGTCCTTTATACAAGGTTTTTTAACTCTTAGAGGAAGTGGTATTGTGATACGGAGTGAAGTAGTTCAGTATTAATCAAATTTCAGATGTGTTCTTATTTTAAAAGAATATGTGTAAAAAGGATTTGAAAGCTTTGTTTCATTATGATCATCTTTTTGTCACCTGCTTTAGTAAAGTTAAAGTCAAGTGAAAGTTTATCCTGTTTCTTCTTGAAATATTATTGTGTTGAGCTGGGGGCGTGCTGCTAATTTTTTGTGCTATACTGTCATCTATGCTGTCTTACTTGTTTGAAACATCCTGTCGGCCCTCTTCAAACTTTCCCCATCTTGTCTTTCATTTAGTTGAACAGCCATATAACCAACCTATCAATAAATAGGCCTATTTCTTCTCTCTTTCAATATTTGTCGAAGCATTTGCTCAATATGAATGTACAAATCCCATCACTGCACATTTTAAAAAACAAAACTTATACATTAATCATGAAGTTCTTCTTTTGACATATCTAGCATAAAATGCTAATAAGTCTTTGTATCCGTACCAGATCAACCAGACTGTGCCACTGCAGGGCCGTTCTGGTATTCTTGGCGACCAGAAGGACAACTTTTTCTGCGATGTTGCGCCTGGAGTAGGACCAATGAGTGGCCGCTTCTTCGTCATCACCCAGTCTGGCTTGCTTTGTGAGTTCAATGAGAAGCGACAACTGGACAAGTGGGTGGAGCTCAGGGTAAGAGATCTCTGTCGTTGGCTCATCATGTCTCATGTTAAAACATTCCCTTCATTTGTGTTATGATTATCTTCCCACAGATAGTGTACGTAAATCAACTTTCTTATTTCGATGCAAGACAAAAGGACTTCATTGTTGTTGTTTTTTTGTTTTTCCAGAAGTTGGCCTTTTTATTGGAATTTTACTGCTTTCCTATTTGTTTTATTTTCAGTAAAAAAAAAAAAGTCTTGAAATGTTGAATTGAAGGTGATTTTTACATTTCGATATCATTTTTTAAATGTCCTTGTTCAACTCTGTAACATTATTATTCACTGTTGCATGCCAGGTTTAGTCTTCACGTTTGATTCTCAAATGGGGAAGCTCTTTATGGAGTATTTCAGTTTATTTTCTGGGATCTGTATACCCGTCAGTGCTGCTAGTTGGCCCAAACAGGCAGGGTCTAAGTAGCTCTTCTCTTAAATGATCTAAATTGTGCACCTGGAGGCGTAAAACATTTAATTTCTAATTTTAGTTTGGTTCCTGGCAGGCTGAGAATGTTTCTGAGTGTTTTAGCATCTTCTTGATAATTATTAATAACGGTTGTAAAGAGCATAGAGCTTGCTGTTCAGCAGGAATATGTGCAATACAAATGACATTTAGTAGTAGTAGTAGTTGTAGTAGTAGTTGTAGTAGTAGTAGCAGCACTAGCGGAAGCAGCAGCAGCAGCAGCAAATAGTATCTTTACCATTATTTTTATGATTGTTTTTATCATTATTATGATTATTATTATGATTATATAAATTATTATTATTTTTATTGTTATCAATTACAAATTTCAGACCAAGTCTGCCAACTGCATCACGGCCGGGATGGAGCACATCTTTGTGGGCTGTGCGGAGGGCGTGGCCAGGGTGTTCAGCGCCACCTCCTTGCACTACATCTGCTCTCTGCCCAAGCCGCACCACCTGGGAGTGGAGGTCACCACGGCAACCAGCCCCAGGTACAGATGTCACAGAATTCTTGGAATAGGGATTGTTTGTTTCTGTTCTAGAGATGGCAAGAATAATATGGTTGCTCTAGTATAGTTCCAGAGATAGGGGAAAATATAATAGGGATGTACTAATGACATGATAATGATATTAGTTTAGTTACGGTAGTGATGAAAATAATTATTAGCATGATAAAAGTAATGATGATGATAATGGCAGTGATCTTAATATCAGTATCAGTAATGCTTTGATGATAATGATTATAGTAGTAATGATAATATCAATGACAGAAATATTTTTAATTTGGGAACAATTCAGTCCTAATATATCCGTTGCCATTTCCATAAAAACAAACCAGTAAATAGCCATACACAAAAACATACTTTCATACTGTGTATAAATGCGTAATATTGTCTCTTCTATGCATACACACATATTGAAATGCTTGCATGAACATTTACACACATATGCACAAACACACACACACACACTTTAATTTTCCATTGTTTGTGTCTGTAGTGCTATGGTGAACAACAGTGAGGGGGCCAGGTACCCAGACGTGATGGCTATTGCCATGGACGATGACCATAAGAAGGTGAGCAGTTCCTCAAGGTGTTGCTTTTATCTTGTCCAAGTAGACACTACTGAAGTAGCTTCATCAAGTTTTGTGTTGGTGGATATTTTAATGTGTTTTACTGTTTTTTATTCAATGAATTAATAAAGTAGCTGTGATTTTAGTCTTTTGTAAATTTGTTGCATTTTTTTCTTTTTTTTTTTTTTTTTAGCTGTCCCTGAAAATTACTATTTCTCATATGGCATTGTCATGTTCAGCTGTTTGAAGTTGAAGGTTCTGAATATGATTTCTAAGTCTCTCTTCATGCTAGTAGGTTTTCCTTATTTTTGTCTGACCTGACTTAAATGTGATGTTGAACATAGTGTTGGAAGAGGCAAGGTGCTATAAATACTGAACGCCTGTACCATGTTGTAACAGCTTTAAAATGCTGTTATTTTGAAAAATTTCCTTTTAATTAACTTTCTTTATTTTTATTTTTATTCTTCTTGTGGTTTGTATGCCAAGCTTTTCTGAACATTGCACTCATCTTTTACCAGGTGACTTGTGTGTACAATGACCGCAGTGTGTACATCTGGGACGTTCACGACTTGAAGAGAGTGGGCAAGGCCTGGTCTTTTCTCTACCATAGTGGATGCATCTGGGCTCTGGAGGTATGTGCTCTCTTCCACACTGTTTGTAGACTTTCATATTGACTTTGAGACTTACTTATAGGAAAATGTTATGATTAATCTAATTTCTGAGATAAGTTTAATTAATTCTCTGCTAAATAAGCTGGGTTTTAATGCGTTCATATTGTTTTTTCTGGCCCTGACCCGTTTTTATGCCCTCCTTTTTATAAATGTTTTTACTCAGCATTGAGTGACAGTTAGGCTGCTCTATTTATGTATTGTCTCTTCTCATCAGAGTAACTTTGTTTACTACTGCTTCACGGAGGGGTTTCGTTTCTTCTGTCTGTGGTTGTTAAATGCTCTGATGTGATCTCCTACTACTTCTTTTCAGGCCCAATGGTCCCATTTTGTGTGGCTGTTGTCACCATAAAGTTTTGCTCCTTATGACAGGATGCTGCAGGCTGATGGCTGTTCTTCTTTCATATTCATCCTCTTCCTGTTTCATTTAGCCTATGGAACTCTGTGTTTATGCCTTGTTGGAGTATATTCTACTTTTTAAACATTCCTCTAATTTTGGCTCTAAATACCCTCTTGCGTCTGTGAACTCACTCCTATTCCTTCATCTGTCTGCAGGAGTGGAATATAATGTCCCTCTCGGCCCAGATTGGCCGTGACAGGCAGGGTCAAAGCATACCACCTCCTAAATGATCTAAGTAGTATGCATGGGGGTGTAAAACAGCTACAATGTGGGTGGTTAGCGGGTGCTCTGGTAGTGGTTTGCTTCTTCTTTTCTATCAAACATCTATTGTCCTTATCTCCCCTCCTTCTTTTTTATGTTTGTTACTCTCTTGTAACACCTCTAATCGTCCTTATCTCCCCTCCTTCTTTTTTATGTTTGTTACTCTCTTGTAACACCTCTAATCATCTGGCGCTCATATGACCTTATGCAGTTGCGAGCGCCGTAAAACCTCTACTAAAAAAAAAAAAGGCAGGGTCAAAGCATCCCACCTCCTAAAAGATCTAAATAGTATGCACAGGGGCGTAAAACAGCTACAATTCCATTTAATGTTCTACCTATTTTTCCTTCTGTACCAGGTGTATCCTCAGATAGAGGATGGTTCCAAGGCCATGCTGCCCCCGGGCTCCTTCCTGACAGCCTCGGGGGACGACACCATCCGGGTGTGGAACCTCAACCCTCACATGCCAGAGGACACAGCCTACAAGAGGAACATCTACAGTAATGTGAGTACTGCTGCGGTCTGGGACTTACGAATCTGAGGAATTTTCCAGGGTTTCTTTTTATTAAAAGTTAACTTCATTCAAAAAAAGAAATATGAGAAGTTTCACTTCGTTTTAAAAGAATAACTTCAATTTTTAAAATCCCCAGATATTTGAAGCTTCACATCGTGTTTTGTTTCGTTTTAGTACAAATAGATAGGGTTGAGCTCTTATTGGGAGTTGTTTTTTTTCTATTGTCGTGCAAATCCTGCTCAAATAGTTATGGCCAAGTCATAATGAGATGTTTTCAGTAGTAAGGTTACATTTATATGTTATTAGGTGGGCCTACAAGAATACAAGAAATATATGTGTGCTGATAGTTTTTTAAAAATAGTTTTGTTATAGTAAATTCTGGACAGTTCCATTATGCACAGTGTGATGATTCTCATACAGTAAAGAAAATGTCCTTTCTTTTGATTGAAAATATTTGTAATTGAATGAACTGAATTATATGCTGGCTTTGTAGTAAAATGTTTTTATATATACAGTGTTTGCAAGCCATTATATTTACTCACTTTTTTTGTACCCGAACAGGAGCTGCTGAAGATTGTGTACTCTGATCCTTCTTTGAATTCCTTGTGCAACGTGGACTATAACCCAGGTAACTCTTTGCTTTATATTCATGGTGTCAGTTGCTATGTTGCCATCTTGAAAAAAGTTTTTTTTTAGATCTTTGAACCTTAAAATATGTCAGTTTCTGTCTCTGTAAAGTATGTACCCTGCCCCATTTCATCTTTTTGTTGATTGATAAATTGACCTTGAGGTCACCTAAAAAGTCCTGCGGCTTGTCTTAGAGGCCAATGTCTGTTATAGGCAATGCAAGAGAGTGATTTCTGTAATTTTTTTAGTCAGTTTTTGTTTTCTCGATTTAGACGTTTTGTCAGTGGTAAGTTTTTATGCCTGCCTTTAAAAAAAGTTTTTATTAGTTGCTTGGTGCATATTTAGGGTAAGAACTAGTTATATTTATAGTGAAATATTAAACTCCTTTGGAACTAAGTTTTTGATGTGTTTTTGTGTTGTGTTCTGTAGTCCACAGATATTTCTTGTGTAATTTAATTTCATGTCAGTTTTTAAGGATGGCTTCTGACAACAAACAAATGGCTTTATGTCCTTGTTGTTGAAAGTCCTGCTTGTTTCTGTCTCTCCAGCTGGTGCTACAGACAAAACAGACACTTCGTACGATGGCAAAAATGGTGTACGCTCGATCAGGGTCAGTCCAAATGGAGCAGACTTGGCCTCGGGGGACAGACAGGGAAACATCAGGCAAGGACAGTTAATTACTTGGTTTTGTTTGGAAATTGGCTCGTCAGCTGCTTCAGCGCCTCTCAAGAAATTTTTCTTGAAAGTCTGGTTTTGTTTCTTGTGATGCTTTCTTTAAAGTGGGTTCTTATGTGTTTTATTTTTTCAACATCGTTTTGTGTGTTACAATTAATTATTCAAATTGTATGACATTCTCATGACCTAAAATGTTCATCATGTCACAGACGTTAGTCATAGAATATGAAACTAGATTGTAAATCATCTTGATTGAAGATGATATGAAGATTGTATTTAGTCTCAGTACAAAAAATTTATTTACAATCTTTGCAGTTTCTATAGTTAATTTCTTGGAGGTGATATTTTGAAGGTTAGAGGTGATATCTTGACTTTAGGCTAAAAAATAATGCTGTGTTTTTGTTGTTGAAAGAATATAATGTCCAACTGATCTAATTTTCCTTTAATTTATAAATTGCTTGAAAGTAGTTATTTGATTTTTTTTCCTGGATTTATGACTTGCTTGAGAGCTGTTATCTTATGTTTGTTCTGCTCTCCAGGATTTATGACATGCAGTACCTGGAGGAGAAGAGATCTATAGAAGCCCACGAGTCAGATGTCATGTGTCTCGAGTACTCGTACACTAATTCAGGTGTGTGTTTGTCATAGTCATTTATAGGTGGTTCTTCAGGTGTAGTTTAATTTCGCAGACAGTCCAGAGTCACGTATCCCTTGATATTTAGTATGATATAATTGCATTTCATTTATGCTTATGTTTTCAGAGAATAAGTTTTTAAAACATTTTTTTTCAGTTTTGTAATAAATGTTATAGGGAGTTTTTCCATGGGGCCCTTCAGTTGTTCTTTGCAGAATGTACTGTATGTCATGAGTGGCTTTACTTGAATATAAAACGAATGCTATGCTGTATGCGCACATATTTTTACAATACTATCTTGTACAAAATGTGCACATTTAAAGAAAAGAAGATGACAGAAAGGCCAATAAACAATCCGTTAAATGAATCACTTTGGCGAGAAGAAATAATAATATTAGAAACTTTAGAAGTTTTGTTTTAAAAAAACAACTAAATATCTGAATATTTATTTATTTGATAATTACTGTCATATTAGTATGTTCTTCTTTTATGATGCTCAAGGAGTTGTTTTGCAAACACATGGTGAACTGCAACTTGTACAAGAGAGGAAATTGTGAGCGATTTTCAGATGAAAAGATTGAAAATGAATTTTTGCTTTGCCTTTTAATGTAGTCAAAGTCAAAAGTTTTTAATGTTTTACTGTGTAAGTGAAAAATCAAGATTACAAAAAAAAAATTAATATTAATTTTTTCTTTATGTGCTATGATTTCACAAGTATAGATTTCTTAAGATGTCTTCTGTCCATTTCAGGTCACCTGTTAGCAACTGCGAGTCGAGACCGCCTGATTCACGTGTTTGACGTGGAGCAAAACTATGGCCTGCTGCAGACTCTGGGCGACCACTCCTCCTCCATCACGGCCGTTCGGTTCACGGACACGGACAACAAGCTCAGGATGATCAGCTGTGGCGCAGACAAGTCTATCCTGTTGAGGAATGCGGTGACTGTAAGTTTACTTTTAGTCATCTCTTAGCCTCACCAATGGGGTCTTGTTAACCTAAAAATTAGGTGGACACCTCTCAAGTTTTAGTGTGTGCATCGACATATGGTTAGTGACTTATATATAGGATTTTTCACTTCCCAAAGTCTTATAATTGGTGTGATAGAGACTTTGGTTCTGTGCACAAGGATGAAGGAATGAATACTGTGTGCAGGTTGTGCCCATGAAAAATGCTTTGATTTTAGGAAATGAAAAAGTAGTCTGACTCTTTGACATGCTACGCAGCAATATCAAGTATATTCTAGTACTCAGAAAATGCTTTTCAGTATAAACAATAACGATAACTGTAAAAATGGCATATGGTTTTTTTGCAACGTGGATGATTAGTTGCAAAGTTTTTATTGTTACAAACTTTTATGTTAATGGGAATGCGAAAGAGTGGGACTACAAGTCACTTACTGTGTTCTGATAATGCATGCTGCCCCTATGTTATAACAAGGAAATACAGTAGAACCTGCTCTAATGGCCACATGTCCAAGACAATCACTTGTTCAAACAACCATTTCCCACTACCCTCTAGTGTTTTTAAAAATTATATTACAATGGCACTGTCCAGGACATTCTCCTGTCGAAGACAACAATTTTTCTCCTTGTCAATGGGTTGCTGTCTTTGACAATTTCGACTGAAGTTCACAGCAGGTGATGATGAGAAAATTTAAAAGAGCTTGATACTTTATTTTTGCACAACATGGGATGTTGGGCTGTGGGTTTACTAAAGTATGTGATATTTTCAACATAGATGTGAGGCATCCTGATGAAATCATGCACTCGTCAAAATAATGAAAACAAAGAAATTGGCACTTTTTTGGCGGATGGGCAATTTTTTTTCTAATTTTCTTTTTTTGGCTCTGCACCTTTTATATCCATCTGAAAACACATTTCTGTGTGAATTTTTACTGAAAAACCTTGATTAGAGGCTCAAAAAATGTAAATTTTCAGTTTCCAAGTACTCTCAATCTTCGGAAGTTACCAAATTTTGACGGCCATTTTACCTCTGAAACAAGGTGACCCTGACCTTCTTCAATTGCAAATACTTCAACTTCTATTCAAGACAGATGGGCACTTTTTCACAGACAGCAAGACAACTGAACAAGCTTTTAGATAATACCAATAACTCCACTTGCCCAAAAATTGACGAGTGCCCCTGATTCCTTCACGTCGTGTCACATATAATCCTGTTGTTTTGTGTTCCAGTCCCCAGACTTTCAGTTCCAGCTGGAACAACATCTTGCCACCAAGATCACCCTGTACGACATGGTTATTGACCCCACCCAGAAATGCCTGGCCACTGCTTGCCAGGACAGAAATGTCAGGTAAGTGTGTGGCTTTTTTGTGGTGCTTGCTTGCAGCTTTGCTCAGTAATTGATTTTGTTGTGTTCAAACAATTCTGTCGGAATCCATTACTACAGTTTCTGATTTTGTTTAACTAGTTCTCTTTTTAAAATTTTTTGATGCAGTTTTGACTGTATTTTCTATGGTAAATTTATTGTGTTTTGTTGTTTGTGAGAATATTTTGTTTGTTCACAAAAGTTATGGATGTGATTTTGTGATGTTTTTGAAAATATTTGTTTTGATAATCTGTGTGAGTGAATGTCAAGAGGGTACCTCTTATAGCTGTTACCTCTTCACTGTTCCTCTTTTGTTTATTTCAGTCTGTTTTGCCTTTTCTATGCACTTAATGACCGTTGTTGTATTGATGTGCTCCTGTTTGTGTAAGCATCTTGTTTGGCTAATCATTTTTCCTGGTGTATCTATGAGTTTATTCCATAGTTGCAACCTTTTGCTTGCTTATAGTTCCCTTTTTCTGCTGCTATGTGGAAAAAAAAACAATTTTAAAGAAATACTGTCAAATTTGTCCAAGACAATTGCCCATTGTGCATGTTGTTGTAGGGCATCACTAGCAGGTACTTCTTTTTCTCTTTCCCTCTGTTCATTTTATCTGTCGTGCTTCTTCCCTGCACTATATGACTGTTATTGAGTTGATGTGCTTCTCTTCACTCGCACTCTCTCAAACCCACCCATTGTCAAGGTGAAAAGTCGTTGTCTTAGACTGATGGACAGTGCTGTGCGATTATGATATTAAAAAATGGGGGTGGGGAGGAGGTGAGAGTTGGAAGTGGCTGTTTGTACAGGTGATTGTCTTGGACCGGTGGCTATTAGAGCAAGTTTGCCGTGGGTGGTTGGCGGGTGCTCTGGTCTGGTTTGCTTCTTCTTTCCTATCAAACATCTATCGTCCTTATCTCCCCTTCTTCTTTTTTATGTTTGTTACTCTCTTGTAACACCTCTAATCTTCTGGCGCTCATATGACCTTATGCAGTAGCGAGCACCGTAAAACTTTTAATAATACTAAAACTAAGAGCAAGTTTGCCTGTTCCTGACATGAAGGCCAAAGAAAAAGAAATCAAATGTATTCAACTACTTCCTACGCATCGTCCACAGATTGTACAACATTCAGACTACCAAGGAGAAGAAATGTTACAGAGGGTCTGTTGGGGATGAGGGCATCTTGCTGCGCATTCACCTGGACCCATCGGGAACCTATGCTGTGACGACATGTACCGACAAGAATGTTTGCATTCTGGACTTCCACACGGGGGAGGTGGTGGCCACAATGTATGGCCACTCGGAAGTCATCACTGGGGTGAAGTTTGCCAACGACTTGAAGCATGTCATCACCGTTTCTGCAGATGGGTAAGTTCTGTACTTAATGGGAAAGGAAAGAATACAGTAGTCTGCCTTGGTTTTATCTGAAAAATGTCTAAGATGGACGTAGTGTTACTGTTCTGAGAATAGATGCGTTTAGTTTACTGCTTTAAAAACTCATACAGGGCCATGATAGTTTTACTTTCAAAGATACTTATGCCTGAATGTTCTGTGTGTGTGTGTGGGGGGGGGGTTGTTTTTAAAAGATTTTTTTCTTTTCTTTTCATTCTCTAAGGAGTATTTAAGCTGATATTTTTGGATAACCAGAATCATGGCATTTGATTCTAGATTCTTAGTAAAGTAGTTTTTAGAGGGTTTTCACCTGGCCTTGTTGGATGGTAATTTTGGTTTGTATAACTTGCATTGTCTATTTGTGTTATAAAGATGTCTCAAAATCTCATACGTGGGTGGTTGGCGGGTGCTCTGGTGTGGTTTGCTCCTTCTTTCCTCTAAACAGCTACCGTCCTTATCTCTCCTCCTTCTTTTTTACGTTTGTTGTTACTCTCTTGTAACACCTCTAATCTTCGGCACTTATATGACCTTATTGTGTTGCAAGTGCCGTAAAACTCTTTACTAAAATTAAAAATAAAAAAAAAAAAAATCTCATACATATAGCTAGGTATGTTTCCAGGGGTAAGAGAAACAAGTCAACATTTTTGTACTCAAAGAGAACGAGACTAGTGACAAAGAAAATTTGTCTGTACAGGTGCATCTTTGTGTGGCGTCTTCCATCTGAAATGTCTGCTCAGATCAAAGGTCGACTTTCGGACCTGGGCAAGATTATGAAGGATACAGACTTCATCAGGTGAGGCCAGCGTGGCTTAATGTAACATTTAGATTTGTACCCCTTGCTTTAATGCTCCGCTTCCAACTTGAAAAGGCATTACAATTATATGTATATATTAATAAGTTATGAAAGTTCAATGTTTATGATAACACTAAATGACATGAAATAGGATCTGTTAGCCTCATTTTAGTGGTTATGGCTGTTGCTTCAGCAGAAGGCTACGTAGGTTGCAATAAATGATCAAATTGCTTTTAAAAAAACGAGAAATGAATAAAAAGAATCTGAAAACTTTAGATCTTTTATTCATCTGGGTATAACACTACTTTCTGAATAGCGAAACATTCTGGAAACATATCTGACTTTTTGGTTCCCCTGCAATGGTTTATGTCACTTTTGTATGACTTGTGTCATGATTTCTTTTTTCTTTTTAAATTACACATTTCCATAGGTCTTTCTACATTTTGACAGCACATTAAGCTTTCCAGCTACAATTTTACTGTGACACCCAGACCTATCTCTTCTTGTATCTGGTTAACTCCCTGGTGTGGATCGTTGTTCCGACTTCTTTTCGGTGTCATTATTATCTTACATCAAATGTACCTATGGAAGGTGTCCTTCTCTTCCTCCCCTCTTTTTTTGCTCTCTGTCTATTTTGCTCTTTCCTTGCACTTATCATCATCATCATCATTAACATCATCATCAATGCCTTTGGTCCTGCCTAGGACATTTGCCATCAACAAGAATTCTCCACACATCTTGATCGTGGGCCAGTTTCTTCAGCTGTCCCCACATATGCCCCAACCTTCTTGTATTCCTTACCACTCTTGGTGCTATGCGTTCTTTGGTTGAACTCTCTTCCTTTTTCATTTGCTGAATTCATCATAGGGTTTTTTCTTGTGATGATGGTTGTTGGCCTTTAGCACATGACAGGTCCATCTATACCGTCTTTTGAAGGTTATTCCTTCAACAGATCACTGGCATGTTTCTGCCCGACTTCTTGATTGCCAATTGTGTGTGGCCAGCGTATTTGAAGAATCTCTCTAAGACAATTTCCCTGCATTGATTGACTTATGTAGTGGATATGCTTCTCTTAACTCTAAACAAATGATTGTGGGTGAAAAGTGTCTGTTTTCATGCCTATGTAGTGTAGAGCTCCCAACCCAATGACAACAGAAGCAGCTTAACTTTTTTCTATTGCTTGCAGGTCTGACCAGCCACTGATGCCCAACCCTGTGGTGTTGGGAGACCACTCGTCCGATGGAAATTTTCCTGTGGTCAAGTCTGCCTCCATCAGGTAAGGAGTCCCCCGTCTCCTGGCTCTGATAGTAGTTAGTTATGGATGTGTGGAAGGGTGGTGGTAGGAGACACCATTGATTTGTTTTCATATGTTATTTGCCTGTCATGTTTTATCATGGATTAAGTGTCTGTTATTGTGCCGATGTGCTTCTTTACTCAAATAAACTAAACAAGATGGTTGGTAGATGCCACTGTTAGGTCCTACTTCTGTTTTGTTTATCCACTGTTGTCTGTCTGTGTGTCTTGCTTGGGGGGGGGGGGATTGACACAAATTTAGCTATCACATGCTCTGTTTAAAGTTGTTTTTGTGTATGCATTAATTCACTGACACTTATACTTGTTGGTGCTCAAATTCAATGACACCCACACTCCTACCAATATTTGGAGTTGTCCGAAATTCACCTTGATGTCCGAAGTACAACATCACTATCCTGTTTCATACTCACCTTTGTAAGCACGCACACACTCATGAACTTGCACACACACTCTCTCACAATCATATATACACTCTTAAAAACATACATACGCGTGTACACGGACACGCACACACAGATATATGTGTCACGACGTTGTGGAATCAGGCGCTCTTCAATTTTTGGGCATGTGGAGTTTATGGTATCATCTGAAAGCTTATTTATTTGCCTTGCTTTCCCTGAAAAAAAATAATCATTTATCTTAAGTAGAAGTCGAGATTTTTGCCTTTGAAGGAGATGAGGTTGCCTGGTTTCAGTGGTAACATTAGCAAGAAAATTGCCGCCGAAGTTTGATAATTTCAATAGCCTGAGAGTCTGAAATTACTTATTTTGTGCCTTTAATCGTTTTTTTTTTTAGTAAAGTTCAATGGAAATGCATTTTTATATGGACACCAAAGGTGTTGAGCCAAAAAAAATATTCGATGAAAATTGCCGAACTGGCAAAAAAATGCCTGTTTCTTCGATTTCATTATTTTGACGAGCGCCTGATTTCACCATGTTGCCTCACATATTCTCAAACACACATATATATTCAAACACACACACACACACACACACACACTCTCACACCCATATATTCTCACATACACATGCACTGTCATTAGCAAGATAAAAATAAGAAAGTAGATTTTGTCATACTTTTCATACTCACAGTGTTGCTTTCAAAAGATTTTTCAGTGTTGAAAGAAAAATTTAGCCTTTGCCTTTCGCTCACCATTTATGTCCTCCGAGCAGTCATATCCCAATGCCAGACGATGAAAGTGTGGATGGCAGAGAGGATTACGACGACGAAGATGACGACGCGTTTCACCCCAAGGAGACGTTTGATGACACAGCTAGCCAGGTCAGCCTGGACTATAGGTTCAGCGTTGGCGAGCTACCTAACTGGGCAAAGTCAAAGGTGAGAGTCATAACTCTTTGTCTCGACAAATAAACTGAGCAGGATGGCCCAATTTATGACAGTTACCAGACTTCAAGTGTGATGCGATCGAGAAGAAGAAGAAGAAGATAACACTGTCTGTCAAGAGAAGCTTTTAGTTACCAATACAATAGCAGCATGACAAAGATCTTTGTACCAGGGTTTGAAGTGTAGTGTTTAGATGTTTCACTGTTGCACGCAGAAGATGCGAGTTTGATTCCTTTCTGTGAAAATTTTTTGTCGAGTATCTTTATCTATCCTCCTTCTTTTTAAATTCTTGTTACTCTCTTAAAACACCTCTAATCTTCGGCACTTATATGACCTTATTGTGTTGCAAGTGCCGTAAAACACTTACTAAAATTTAAAAAAACGAGTATCTTTGTCTTTCTTCGGGAACATTTTGTCCTGCTCAGCCTGGGTTGACTGTGACAGGCAGGGTCAAAGCAGCCCGGCTCTTAAATGATCTGAACAGTGTCAGTGGGTGCATAAAACTTCCATGTGGGTGATTGGCGGGTAGTTTAATGTGGTTTGATCCTTCTTTCACATCAGACGTCTTATCTTCCTTATCTCTCCTCCTTCTTTTTATGTGTTTGTTATCTTTCTTAACATCTCTAATCGTCAGCTTTTATGTGACCTAATTGTGTCACAAGTACTGTAAAGCTCGTACTAAACTGCACTTTCACAATAATTTTTTTGTTTTTTTTGTTTTAGAAAACTGGAGAGGCAGATGGAGCAGACAGCAGTATGGAAATGAGCCAGCCCAAAGGTCGCTGGGCGCAGCGAGTGGACCGCAACGTGGAGTTCAAGTCTCAGCTGGATCTCACCTCGGAAGATGACACCTTCAGTGGTAGGTCACTTTGTTCCTTTGTCTGCAGTGTCAAAAATAAATGACCATAGCGTGTTACGGATAGTGCAAAAATATCCCGCGTCAAACAGCAGGATTAGCTAGCTTTCTCACTTTAAATCATGGCATATAGGTAACAGGTACTGTAATGTGATATTATTTTCTCAAGTGTATCAGTGGCGTCATTGACAAAAGGATCTGTTGAAAAAAAAAGCTTACTTTATAGGAGGCAGAAAATAATCTGTGATTTTGTCTCTTTTTTCCATTATTTTTTTTCCATCTATTTTGTAATTTTGTTATTTTGTCTTTGAGAGATTTTTTCTTTATTTTTGCAAGTTAAAGAGTTAAAGACCAAACTATTTTATCTTTTAAAAATGATAATTTTCAGGATGAGTAACATTTTGTTTTATCGAGATGAAATCATGATTAATCAAGGACTGAAGAAAATAGATATTCTTGGAATTTGTCATTGATTTTTTTAGTAAGTGTACTTTGACATTACATTGCAGTGTATGACTCCGTGGGATGATGTGATGCATGTATGTGAGTGTGTGATGTAGGGTTGACTAATTGACTGTTACTACTTGAAAGTCAGGCATTGGATGGAGTATAAGGCAGTTGCTTGTAGGAGAGAGGGGGAGGGAGACTGTAGACACAGATGTAGAGTCCTAATCCTATTACAATGTCTGTGGTTGGTGGGGCTCTTGTTTGTGTTGTGTGGGTGGTTGGCGGGTGCTCTGGTGTGGTTTGCTTCTTCTTTACTATCAAACATCTATCGTCCTTATCTCCCCTTCTTCTTTTTTATGTTTGTCTCTCTCTTGTAACACCTCTAATCTTCTGGCGTTCATATGACCTTATGCAGTTGCGAGCGCATGACCTTATGCAGTTGCGAGCGCCGTAAAACCTCTACTAAAACTTAACTAAAACTGTTTGTGTGGTGGGCACTATCTGCTTCTTGCTGTGTAAAGAGAGTCCTGAACCATTTCTTTTTGTGAAATGATGGCAGTTGGCGTGTCTTCTCCTCATAAACTACCAATTAAATTACTTTAATTTTTTTTATTTCTACTATTCCTGTTCTTGATACAAACTGCTTCAAAAAAGTATGTGCCTTTGCACGCTGTCTCTTCTCCTCTTACTCTTTGTCTGGCTGTCTTTTTTGTGTGTGTTTGTGGGTCCTCCCTTTCCTCCCGCTATGGTTGTATCGTCAGTTATGGAATGTGTAAGAGGATATTATGTTGATGGACACTTTATTAAATACATTTATCCTCTGTGAAATTGGGAGCATTGAAGAAACGAATGGACCAAAAGATGCAGGTGTACTTTTTGCTAGTGGTGTTGGGACGCTTTCATAAATGATTTTCCCTCAAGATCAGTGCTTGCGAACTTAGGCGATATCACCCACCTGCTAATCTGTCCCCGCGGTTTTATGCAAAAAAAATTTCTGAAATTATGCAAACTGGGCCCAAAAAAGTGAAATTATGCGATTTTGTTTATTTTAACAAAGAATGATAAACGAAAATAATAAGAAATTATGCAAAAAGTGATCAAATTTTGCTAAATTATGCTGGGCGCATAAAACCCCGGGACAGGCTAAAGGAAGATATAATGATGTTGGAAGGCGATGGGGATCTCCCGGGGAGTGACAGGTGTCAGTTAATGCCGCCGCGTTTGGAAATACCTGCACATGTAGGTAAGTAATACGAAAACAATTGCCTCCTTAACGTGTCAAAATTTGGCGCTGGTTGTGAAAATTTGGACAAACGTTGCTCTAGATATTTTGCAGGGGTTGTCGACCGCAGGATCTTCAACCCGCAACGCAACTGGATTTTTATGTGACCAACTTCTTTTCCTTGCACAACGTGTGGTCCCCCTTTCAGTGGCCTCTTTCAGTAATTAAAATGATTTTGAGCATGGGTTATGTGCATACGGGCACTTCCGAGTCACCCAGAGGGTTATGTGCGTACAGGCACTTCCGAGTCGCCCAGAAAGGTTTTGTCCTCGATCACACTTACCCTGGAAGTAAAGTGTGGAAACCTCGAAGAAATTCTCTCCCCCCCCCCCAAAAAAAAAGACAATGAAAAAATTGAATAAATAAAAACCAACACAGACCACCCAACCAATCCGGACACACACGCGCACGCGCACGCACGCACACGCACACACACACACACACACACACACACACACACACGCACACACCACACACCACACCATAAATTGCGGCGCAGAAACCCAAACCACAAACCAGATACTTTCATTCAGAGGTCCGAAATCACCAAACCAAGAAACTTTTCATTTCAGGTATCAGGGGAAGCACCATAACGCCTGCCTTCCCCCCCACCCCTAGTGCCAGCAAACCCCTCCTGTGCAGGAATGGTAACTTGCCAAACTAAATTCTCCAATCCGCGACGACTCAGTGGGTAAGTTTATTTGTTTACAATTTCCCAACCCCCTGTTTCTCAGCAGGTCAGGTAATCTTTGTCCTGTGATCAAAAACGCGTAAACTACTCGTATGTCACAAGACCGTACGCCGTATCCCCCCCCCTCCCCCTCTTCCCTTCCTAGGACGGTACCGGTGTATTGAACTTAATAAAACAATCTTTGCCCCCACGTAAGCCGCTAATGTGTTTGTTCGTGGTGGACAGACTTTGTCGAGCTATCACTAATCCCCCCTTGGGTGAGCAACTTCTCTATGTGACTAATCCCTCCTTTAATTCCCCTTAATCCCTTGCCGTCTCCGTACGACCCATCTTTTCTTCTCGGCTCCTTTGAATCTTTCCTAGCCCATATTGTGTGAGTGTGACAAAAAACGCGCTACAGCAGTAAAGTGGCTTGGTGTTTATAGTGATAATGTTTTTGTGAATTGTTTTCTTCGTCCTTTTTGTGTATAAAAAAAAAAATAATAAAACAGGTCTTGTAGAAGGACAGGCATTGTCTCCTTTGGGAAGGGGTTGAAGTCTCAAAGCAGGTTTGCTTGTGATAGTTGTGGGTGTTGGGGGGAATTCGTGGTCTTTGGCGTAGAAAATAACCCCACCCCCACACTGCTTTCCTTCCTTTTAGTCTTTTGAATCGCAAATAAACGTTGTCTTGGCTTTTGAATTCATCTTTCAGGGCTAAGAAAAAATAAAGAGGGAAAAAAAATGATTGGAAAATGAGGATCAATATCTTACCTGTCAGAATTGCCCTAATTTTGAACTAATGTTTCTTTGTGTTTATGTAGTTTTCTGGGTCAGATGTATTATTATACATTGTAATAGAACGAGTTCAGTAAATTTTCTTTTACTACTTTTTTTTAATTTGAAGGAATGACCGAGTTCGTGCCATCATTTTGTCAACTGGTTCGCGCACAAATAATGACTTCGCCATCGCAGGGTCACAAGAATGTTTGTCGCAATTTCCGTTGTGGGGTGTCATGAATGTTTGTTTTTCTCCATTGTGGGATGTTCAAAATGTCTGTTTTTCGCACAAGCGTGGGGTGTCACATAATGTGCCAATTTTTCAAGCCTTTCTCAGTTGTCTTATATGCCTGTTCTTCGCCATTGTACCGTGTCAAGTCTATCTGCTCTTCACCAATCCTGGGTGTCAAAGTTGTCTGTTTCTTTATAATTACAGGATGTCGATGTACATGTTGTCTGTTTCTTCGCCATTTATGGGTGCTTTAAGCGCGTATTTTTCTTCTTTCTTTCTTTCTTTTTTAAAAATCGATCTGGTTGATTGTGTCATAAAACTGTGACGTCATTTGCGTTTTGTTCAGAAATGACTCCGACATCCGGATTGTGGAACCTCTCTCACTAATGCCCCAAAACTCGGCTCTCTCTCTCCGTCTGTCAGGAGACCGTTACCCTGTCAAAACAATGGCGCTTCCCTTTTGTGCCTTTACTTAATCTTACACCATAAAGCCGTATCCTTCTGTAATCCCCCTGTACTGCTATTGCCCGTGGCACAAATGGCTGAGCACCGTTATAGGGGTAGCCTGTTTGAGAAGGAAACTGCGAAAAGTCTTCATGAAAAACGTTGAGACTATGGCTCCGTTAATTAAGCGCCCGCCTTTGGCGCCACACCGTTGTAACCTTGTTTTGGTCGGACGTGCCGAGCATTATATGAACGAATAAATGCCCGAGTGCCCTGATTTTAGATTAGGTGTTTAAGGGTTTTGGAGTTGTTTTCGTTGAACTCTCAGAATTGCTCTTTAATAAATGTAGTTAGGGTAAGGTAATTTAGGAAATGGAACAGCCTAAAAACTGGGCGTGCTGCGCTGGCTCCTGAATTAAAACGCAGGGGCAGCGAAAAGGGACGTGCAAGTTTATGAGGCCCTTGCGTGTGTTGTTCACGGGTGATGACGTGCTGTGTGCGTCTTGTACTCTTGGATGTAATACGTTCTTCGTTCACTTCTCTTTCTCTTTCTCTCTCTCTCTTTCTCTCTCTTTCTCTCTCTATCTATCTATCTATCTATCTATCTATCTATCTATCTATCTATCTATCTATCTATCCCTCCCTCCCCCCCCTTCCCTCCCTCCCAATCCCGTGGTCAGTTTTGTTTACGTCCCGAAATTCAGTCAACGTTTTCCCCCTTGTAATCGATACCGATTTCTATAATTTGTATTTAGGTACTTTCTCTTCACAAAACTTTTCTGTGGGTGGTTGGCGGATGCTCTGCTTCTTTCCTATCAAACATCTATCGTCTTTATCCACCGCTTTCTTTTTTGTGTTTGTTACTCCCTTGTAACTCCTCTAATCTTCGGCACTTGTATGACCTTATTGTGTTGCAAGCGCCGTAAAACTCTTACTAAAACTAAAAAATATTTCTTCTCTTATGTCATATCTGACTGGAGACTATTCCATGGTGTAACATTCGCTCAATGGAAATATTTTGATGTAATCTCTATCAAATCAAAAACAGGGGGCTCTCGTGGCCTAGAGGATAAGGTGTTCGCCTGTCATTCAAAAGTACCGGGTTCGAATCCGGGTAGCGACTGAAGAATTTTCTTCTCTTAAATTGTCTC